AACAACTTTTATCTTTTTTTAATCATCCCAAAAACAACAAAGACACAAAAACAATAAAATTCTTAATAATAATATATTTACAGGGTGTCTGGTAAGTTGGGGGAAATTTTTATGGGAGTTATAACAGACCTCATGAACTAAGAAAAAGTTTATATAAATAACAGAAAAATTAGAAATCCAAGTTTTGTGTTTTTAAAAGCAAATTATGCTTTTTGTTGAATAGAAAGCGATAACTAAAGAAATATTTAATTTAATTAATTAACGTTTGCTTCACCGTAAACTCATCAGCAGTAATTCATTCAAGTATTCAGCTGATTTCTTTACTTTAAACGTAAACGAAAGGATGAGGAACATTAATTTTGTCTCATATAAATGCGGATCAATCTACGACATGATCTGGAAGAAAACAGTTTCATAACCACTTTAAATGAAAAATATTTGGAAAATCATTATCTTAAATTTTTTCCTTATGAATAAAAACTGTATTTAAGCAATTACGTTTATTATACTTTGAAACAGTTAATTGTAGTCATTTTTGCTGAAAACACGGATACTTTTAGATGACAGGATAATCAATCACAATATTTTTTACGCTACTTAAGGTGAATCTCAAATTTTTTCTCTTATAAATCTCAACATATTTAAAATGGACTTACAGCTTATTAAAAGAAGAAGTTTTTCCAAAAGTGGGGTATCTGTAGTATAGTTATCCAACTATAATAAAATAAAATAAAATCGTGAATCTTTTTTGATTTTTTAGAAAACAGAACTCATCTTAGTTTAGCCGCTCAAAAGTCCTCTTTAAATGGTTTTAACAATGACAAACTAGTTTCATTTGAAGCAAATTTTGACTAATTTTAAGACAATTAAGCAAATTATTTACTTGAATTAAATACTTTTCTATTGGTCGGTTCATATTCAACGAAAAACATGAATTACCCGGCAAAAACCCACAAATTTAAAAAAAACAACAGAAAAGCAACTTTTCGCCGGAAAAAAAATCATTGTTTATACAAACATATTTGTAGCTCTGGAATTATGTTATCACTAGAGACGGGATTTCCATGTTATTACGCATTTTATTCGATCGCGTATAAAATCTCGGACCCGAATATCTATCCGTTTCAGGACCAGTAGAACAAGATATTTAAATTTTATATTGCACTAAATTGCCCGTTTTGAGCTTAAATTGCACGGTTTGGATATTTGTTGCGTTAAATAGCACATTTTTGTACATTTAGTACTAGATTAAATGACTTATAAATATACATGCGCGTTTAAATATTTTTTATTTTATTATCTTGTCCATATTAAATTTATAATTTAAGAAAAAAAATATGAGGAAGGTAAATGATTCTGTGACTGGTAAAGATTCGACTTACGTTACAAAAGGAAGAAATAAATACAAGGGCAGACAAACTATTTGTGGTATAGAGTAAATCAATAAAGAAAAACTGCCTTTGACTTAAATTCTCATTCTTTCTTAAGTCCCTTAGTATCTCTTCCGGCTCTAAAGTGAATCGTGGACTACTATGAATTCGGCATCTATAATATCCGATTTGATGTTCATAAAATCACATTTCTCAAATATTCCACAAAAATTAACTCAGTTAGAATCTCGAAATTTGTCACTTAATAAACAAATTGAAATTATAGAAATTACAGGAGAACAACTTAACACAATTAATAGAGAAGTAGGAAAAATTATATCTTAAAAATTTTACTCTATAATAGAAAAAAAATACAGTCATAAAAAAATATAACGACACAGCATTGACGATATAAATGTAATGTTAAGTTAAGGAAAAAATAGCAGTGGTTGATTATTACAAAATGAGTCCGCTTACATCAGTTTATGCTGAATGCTCTTTTTCTCAATTAAAAGACGTTGAGAATAATAGGAGAAAAAAATTTCAGAAACAAAGTTTGAAATGTAACATTGTAAATTACAACTCGATTAAAAAATAAAGTTTTCATTATAATGTGAACAATTTATAATTATGTCTGTACATATATTATTTTAAATTTAAATTAAATATCTGAAATCAATTGGTCTGCCATATAAAGTATATACTTATCCTTCATACCTTTAATCTATACCTTTAATCTATTAAGTTCCTCTACATTACTTAATTCCTTGTATTAGCCAGCCAATTAACCAATTTAATGAAAATTCGTAATATTTAATTATCGTGGAAATTATTTGTCGGTTAATTATTCATTGAAACCTTTTTGTATTTGTTTTGTGAATTATCTTTAAATTTTGTAATATTTATGTAAATTCTTATTTTTTTTTAAATTTCTCTTTCTTCAAGATTTAGGATAATCGTCATATATTGCTGTATTAGATTATGTATTGTTGTCGTTAGTTGATTGTGATATGGGTTTTAATTTTCAATATTGCATTTTAATTTATTTTTGTGACACAATATTTTAGTTCAGAAGCTTAACATAAATAAGGTTTGATATGGTTTCGATGTATTAATATTATAAATTAAACAAAATTGATGAGTTTTGGACATTTTACGGTGTAAATTAGACTATTTTACATATTTTGTTTTTTTATTACTCGATGTTTGCACATTTTGATTTTTTTACTGCACATTTTTCGGGTATTTACTGCACAACGATTCGGCCTCTAGTTATCACCTCTTAAACTATTTACCCCTACTTACTTTAATTTAACAAGGACAAATTCTACATTCTTTTGAAGTAATTTTTTTAAACTTTATAATGGAACAATTTTTAACTAGTTAAATTAAATAGTTCTTTAGTTATCAATTCCTATTCAACAAAAAATGTGACTTACTTAAAAAAAAAAGCACAAAACTTTGATTCCCTACTTCTCTACTGGAATTCCGGGCTTTTGTACTTTTAGCTTTTGTAGCCCATAAGGTCGGATATAAGTATTTCTCTCGACTCACGGGACTATCTGTATACATATAAATGTCACCACACATAAATATATGTATAAAGATTATTTTTTATCAATAAAGAATTGTACTGCTTTTATATTTTTTGGAGGAGGGGGAGGGAAGAAAAAAAGGATCCCAGTTGTTGATCATTAATTAATTATTTTTTTAGAAAAAAACAACATATATTTAATAAAAAATATCTCTGAACATTTAAGGTGCTTATTTGAAATAAGATTAACTGTCTATATAGCCTGCAACTTTTAATTGAAAATAAGATATCTAAAAAAAGATATTTAAAAAAAACTACACAATTTTTTAATTGTGCTTAAAACTCTAAGTGGTAAGGAAAGTCGGTGTGAGGGGATACAACAGATATTTTCTTTATGATTTGGCATTATATTTTTTTTTCTGTATTACAATTATCCAAGCATATTTTGCTGTCCTTTAGGATTTAGAGTGACTATATATATCTTCGGGTTTTTGGTATAATTAAAAATGTTCGAATTAGTATTAGTTGCATTAATACATTAGACGGATTGGATCACAGACTTAAATTTATAGTTATTTATTTTATTTATTTTTATAATAATTTCCACCTTCTAAATTTGTTGGTATTATAGCAATGTGTTCAAGTTACTGGATCTATTTGAAACAAATAATTTGTCAAGAGTGCTGAGCAATTCAATAGTTAAGTAACGAAAATAATGAGATTTTTTTTTTCCTCATTGACGCAACTAGATGGAGCTATCTGTTACACGTGAAACAGTTAGATAAAACTTTCAAAACGAGAGTACGATTCATTAATTATCTCAGTCTGTTTCCAACCATTAACTGATTCTAAATTTTGTTCATATTCACTGAAATGGGCCGGATGGTTTTGCTGAAGGGTACTTTAGATTAATTTAGATGTTAACGAAGGAAACGTTAATCTACGTAAAGTGGCTGAACTAGCGGTTCCAGTACGAATTTTCTGCTCCTTAACTATGATGACTCCGCGAGAAAGTGTTCTCTCTAACGCTCCTCCTGTTATTTCTAGCAGTGACAAAAAAATAAATTTAAACGATATATTTTTTTAAAAACTTGATATTTGTTTTTAAGTTGTTTAAAATAAATTGAATAATAAAGCAAAAGAGGATTTACGAGAAATTTTCATTGTAATCGACTCCAAGCACACTTCGATCCCGCGAGTGACAAAACGTAATGTTTTTACAAATTCACTCTCAACAGTTAGAAAATTCTCCAATGCTCACAAATACTGATGATCTAAACTGAAATTTAGTTTAAGTTTTCTCATATAAACACATCTATGGTATTGAGTAGAGCATGGAGAAAATTCTATGTTGAAAAAACAAACTAAATATCGTTCTGCGGTGAATATAATAGAAAATGGACTTTTCAAATCGGCCGGATACGAGTCGTAGGAAGATTTTCGGTCCCTAGTGTTGAGAGTTCTGTACCTCAGGAGTACCCATCTTCACTCTCCTCCCCCCCCCAAAAAGTCAATGGCGCAAGAACCTACCTTCTCCCACCTCCCACTCCCAAGATATTTTATTGCTCATATTTTCTTAAAAACAGAGCAAGTGAAGATAGAATTAGAAAAATCGAAGGTCATATACAATTACACTTGCTGTGGGCTGTTCCATGTTTTATCTTTGTCTCATTCCGAAAATTCATAACTCTTTCAAAATGTGCCTCCCTCAAAAATTCAACAAATTCGTCAAAATATGCCTCCCTCAAAAATTTTGATAGCGCAACTTGCGCCATCAAACATCCTTCCGGGTACCTCTGCTGTACCTTACACCATGTTTCAAGTATTTTAAATAAAAATAGATTCAGAATATTTGTATTTAAGTTCTAACGTCAGAGAATTTTTTACATGTGACATATACCAGTAACCATCAGAGTGTACTTTATTCGAAGTGCAATTCATAACTTACCAACCCGTCTTTACTGAATTTGGAAATAAAATATGATAAATAAATATTTGATAGCTTAGTGACAATCATAATTATTTTTATGAAAGTTAAAAAGTAAAATAACAAAATATAAACAAAAAACAAGTTTAACAATTAAAGCTTTACCTACCTCTCCTTTGGCCGATATTTCACTAATTAAGTTGTGAGAAAAATCTGCGAATTTGAGCCTCATGAGACCTCTGATTTCACTTGGACTAAAAACAGTCAACCGGTTGTAAGATAGCTTCACTCTCCTCAGGTTCTTCAATGGTAGCAAGGACTTGTTAAGATGTGTTAGAAAATTGTACTGAAGATCCAAGTCCTCTAGATTCTCCAAGTTGGCAAAGTCCCCGGTTTCCAACTGAAATTTTTTACATGTAATACAATTTACCAAATATATACAGACTGTATATATATAAACACTATACAGAGTATTTTTAAGGGTTAAGTGCCCAAACTGTAAAAATGAATTAAGGACCTCAAAACAAGGAAACAATTTCCTCTAAAGGTATGTCTCTTTGTATAGGAGTAAATTCACACCTAAAGATTTTCGTTGTTATGAATTATTTACGTTATATGAAATAAATAAAAAGTACTTGTTCCTACTACTTTATTAATTAAATGTAAGCATTAACACCCATATTACATGTTGTTTAAAGTGATTTCCTGGAGCATTAAGACAGGCTCGGCATCTTTATTCAATAACAGCAATGGCAGAACGGTATTGGATATGTGTTAATGTTTCACAAGATTCAATTATCCTTCTTCGTAAGGATTAAGGTTATTGACCCGAATTGCATAGACGTTTTGTTTAATGTCACCCCAAACAAAAAAATTCATTGGTGTCAGGTCTGGAGAGCGTGCAGGCCAAGCCTCTAGTGGTGCACGGCCAATCCATTGATTGAGATATGTGATATTGAGCAAGTCTGGTCAATGACCTTAATTGAATTAAATGACCTTACGTAGAAGGATAATAGCCGTTCTGCTAATGCTGCTGTTGAAGAAACATAACGAGCCTGTATTAATGTTCAAGCAAATCACTTTGAACAACAAGTAATATGGATGTTAATGTTTACATTTAATTAATAAAATAGTAAGAACAGATAAATAGATTTGATTTATTTCATATAACGTAAATAATTCATAACAATGAAAATCTTTAGGCGTGAATATCTCCTTTAAAAAAGCGTTTGCGGACACACCTTCAGAGGAAATTGTTTTCTTGTTTTGAGATCCATTTTGAGGCCAATTAAACCTGAAACGCCCTCTATATTTATAAATACACTTTCTGCTCTGACTATAATAATAATGAGTATAAAGTGAAAAAATAAGGTTATTAAAGAATAGTATAGGTTAACTTTGGACTAAGTCTAAAACTATTCACCTGTCTGAATGGAATGAAATGAAACAATGGCGGAGGCTATTTTTTTTTTCACAGTACCGGAATCTTTGCCTATATCCCCCAAAATGGTTATTGTAGGCAAGGATGTCCAAATTGCACTATTTGTCATATTAATTTAATAATATATATTCCGAAAGAAGGCGCAGATATGTTGAAAAAATGACAGATTTGTACCGACTGGAACCAATTGAAACCCAAAATAAGAACACTATGTACCTTCAATGCCGTACAGAATAGTATCGACACTGAAGTGAAGCAATTTTCAATTGACGACGTCTAATATACCACCAACGCTTAAGTCTAATTTAACACTTAAGTCTTTATTGTAGACCACATGCCGTAAAAATGATAAGAAAATAAATCTATCTTTATTTTATGTTCTATATAAAAACAAAAAACTATGGTGTGTGAAAAAAAAATGCACCATCGGTTTCGTCGGGTGTTTTTATATGGGAAACAATATTTATCTCAAGTTATATAAAAAATCAATTAGGGTTCACTTTGGAAACAAGTGACTCAAATATTAGATTCATAACTGAAACCATTCCTATGCCATACAGGCAGACGTAGCGCCATAAAACCTTTTCTCAAAGGTTCATGTATTCATGCATAACGATCATTAAAAACCGTTTTAGAAACAACTGCTTTACCTCTTCAATTGGATGGAAATTCCCGATCAACCTTTGTACACATATTTTTATTTTACGAGATTAAAAAAATAATAACAATTAACAATTTACTAGGAACGATATTTTCAAAGACAACCTTTCACTACGTTTTTTAAAAAATAGATTGTCATTAATCTTAATTACATTGAACTGATTATCATTAACTAGTTTTTGCATTGAATCGATAATATATTTTTTTAAAAACGTTTTTCATTTTTAAAATAAAATCTGAATTAAATTGTTACAAAAATGTAATATCGCAAAAAATAAATCAAACAAAAACATTAAATTGTATATTGAATACTTAATAATTGACCGTTGTATTATAGAGGAAGGAGATGGCCCGGGGTGGCTGTGACATGCTGAGCATACCTGTAAGTCTCTATTTTTATTATTTTATTTTCATTTATTTTATTTTATTATTGTTTTGTATCTTGTCCGTTCTAGCCTTGAAGAAGACCTGCAAATTCGGGTCGAAACGTTGGCTTTTAATAAAATAGTTTTGCCACTATTTCAGTCTATTTATGACCGCCACCCGGGCCATCTCCTTTCTCATTAAATTGTATAATTATATTAATGGTTTTGCTAAACTAAACGATTATCTTTTTGCATTCTCACCATCAAAGGTAGGAAAACACTGTATTCGTGCGAGAGGATAAAAAAAATTTTGAGCTTAGAATCGAAAATTTCCACTCGCGTTTTACATTTCAGACATCTACGATCAATTTTGGTTCGGCGTCTGTTTGTCGATCTTGTCTGTAGTCAAATCGATGTGACGGGCACATCACCCAGTACCTTTCATCAGATTTTCATGAAATTATATTGAGTAAATATTACTTTTTTAGTTTGTAAAAAAAAAGTCTTATTTGGGATTGTGGTTATGTCTATTGAGGCTCAACCAGCTCGTCGTGGTCTCGATTTCCTCCTTAATCATCACATTCGTGTGAATTTAATCATATTTAATATTGCAGCTTAAATTAGTCTTTCTTCTGACTAAGGGAAAATATTGATCTCGTCAACTCCGAACAAACAAAAAGTTTTATTTTTCCAATGCATTTATCGTTCCATCCATTTTACTAGTGAAACCTATAAAGTCTATATTGCTACTGTTAGTGCAAAAGGTCGTATGTAACAATTTTCCATTTTTTATTCTATTGGTGATAAAGGTAACATTTCGTTGTCTGCTACTGATATAGCTATCCTGGTACTATGGAAAAAAGAAATAATTAGTTTTTATGCTCTCCTACAAAACAATCTATTTTTATATACGACCTTTTGCAAGGAGTGGGGTGGCCGAACGAGCTGTGTGTACACAGCACCGCGTTGCCTGACAACCAGATAACTAAAAGTTGGAGACAATAAAATTAGGAATTCTTGTCTCGGTGCCTTTGGGGATCTTTTAAATTCCCCGTTCTGAAACAACTCTAGTTATGTAAAAAAAAAAAAATGTGATTTGATACTCTAAAGTACTTGTGTTTTTAGCAAGAACAACAGCAATAAGTTATTATAAAGCTTTAATTTCCTTCTTTTTGTTTCTATGACTTGTAATGTATTGCAATAAATTAATTACAAAAATACTCGTCCCGGAATCAAAATATTAACCCACGAAGGCGAAGGTCCAATAAAGAACTGCTTACTGAAACTGTTTAATTAATACGTAAAAATATGAGAGGAAGAAGATTAAGATGGGCAAGGCATGTAATTCCATCAAGAATCCTCCACACAACAATGAAGGCCTCAATAATTAGTAAGAGACCAGACGTAGGGCTAAAGACCAAGTGTAGAGCTTGAAATAACATAGATCGTGTAGAGGTGCACCCAGGTAACTGGAAACAAATAGCCTAAGATAGGCAGAGATGGAGAAAGATGGTTAAGGCGGCAAAAGGTATGTAAAGCCAACAGGGAAAAAAACAAAAACATTCCAGGTCACAGAAGAAAAGAAAAAAATCAAAGCCTTCTTATTTTTGATTAAATCAATTTGGAGTGATAGCAGTGCCCGCCTTAGGACGCTGACTTGGAGGGTAGCGACTTCGGTGGGCACTCGCCAACTGTTAGAAATTAAAGAAATACATACAAAATGTACTAAAATAATTAATTTTATCCTATCAATAAAGCAATAGTATTATAGAAATATTGAGAGAGATAAAATTAAAATATTACATGATATAGAACTGCTTAAGCAATAAATTTAATTTATTTAGGAGGAGAGGAGAGATGACGCCATGGCCCGAGGGCGCGGAATGTCTAATGGGTAATAACGCTGGGTGATCAAGTTTACTTTACATTTCGAGATTAATGGCTTCTGGTAGGTTCAACTGAGCTAAATTTTTTATGATAATCCTATATATTATTTCTAAATGGTGTTTTTTTTGTCGGTACGCCATAACTTTCTCAATTCTTCATCAAATCCAATGATTCCAATGATGTTCTTTTCCTTCACATGCGAAAAATAGTCCTTTCCCCTAAATTTCTGGGAAAAAAGTTATGAAGGAAAATAAACTTTATTTAGGAATAACTCAAAAAGTATGCATTTTTTTCTTGATTGTACCCATAGTAATTAGAAAGATCACTAAATTACCTACAAAAAAAAATCGGACAATTATTGACAAAGATACAGTCCATTAGTATTGGTATACTTAATAATGTCTTTCGATTTAAAGATGTTGCATTTAGGAATAGAATTGTCTACTTTTTTTCCTGGCTGATATATTATTTCTTATAGACATTTTGTTGTTCTTACATTTTTTTTTTTTTAATAATGTAGAATATCCTATGAACGGGGCATTATTTTGTCTATATTATAGTTATTATCTTTCCAGTCAGCGTTTAAAAATAGATTCTAGCAAAGCAATTTGTACAAATATTTTGGTCTATTATGTTTAATGGAATATTGTAATCGACCAAGGAAAAAATATTAATTCCTTTCTTACATAATACATAGGAACTACTTATTTCCATAATGTTTGGCTATTTCTTCACTAAACAAAATTTTCTGCAAATTTTTCGCACGGGCCAACTAGTAATTTATTATTATTTAAATAGCTTTTTTTTTTTAATTTAAGGGTGACAAAAACAAATGTTGATTAAGACGTTCTCCACTAGTAAATATATAATTCTTTAAATCCGTTTCCCTTTCCATTTCGTTGAAAAGTTTTCCAAAACGTTCGTTTATGAACTGAGGGACGCAGAGTGGCGTTATCAACGTCACTGATCAGAACATAGTTTATACAAACTTATTTGTAGCTCTTGAGTTCCGCTATAATTCTTTTAATATTTCCCTTCACCAACGGG